CCGGAATTTTAATAAAAACAAGTAATGTCTTACCGTAACTGTAAAAATATCAAAAATATCTATTCTTGAAATGCTTAATTACTTAATACAAAAAGAAACTTAAATAACATAACATCACGCCTTTTTATCCACGAAGGGGTAGGCAGAGGTGCACACAGAAGTAACACCCACTTTTCACTATTTATGTTATGAGTCCCATGTAATAGGGGGTGAGCCTATTGCCATATACCGGGCACATTTCCAGACTCCGTGCTACTACTGAGATTTTTTTTAAAAACCAAATAATATTTTGCCCGACCCGGGAATCGAACCCGAGACCCCTTGCCCGGCAGTCGCAATTGCGACCATTCGGCCAACTAGGCATTCTAAAAGCAAGTAAAGAAACTTAGATCTTATAAATAAACTTGGTAAGTAATAAGGTCTTATTGTTAAGCAACCCTAATGCGAACAATGTGTGAATTTAAAGGTCTGAAGGTCAAACATTTCGAGAAAAAATTGACATTTAGTTCAGACCAGCTCAGTGCCGACCCTAACCTAGTTGGGTAAAAGCCAGAGGCTGGTCCAATGGTATTACTGATACCATTCTGTCTGCTATTGTATTCTCAAAGCAGTTGCTAATAAAAACTTATTATTAGTTAGTATTTATACTTATATTTTATATTTTTCTATCTAGGGTGAAAACGAAACGGTCCCGAAAACGCTGATTTAAAATTTATTTTACAATTTAAATCGAACGCAGAAAACACGGTTAGTGCGGTGGCTGGGCAACCGACTGCCACGCAACGTGTCGCGGGTTAGATTCCCGCACGGATCAACTCTTTATGTGATCCTCAAATTGTTGTTCCGGGTCTGGGTGTCCTGTGTATGTACACTTATATGTTTGTAAACGAACCCACGATACAGTAGAAAAACCTAGTGTGGGGCAACGTTTTTTAAAAGAAAAAAAAATTACGGTTTATTTATTCAACATCAGCCTTGAGTGGTTGATTTACATAAAAAGATTTTTACCATCACCTGTATGCGTTTTTGGGGGACGATCCGTTTGCACCCTGGATAGAAACATATAAAATATATAAATACTAACTAATAATATTTTTATAGGCTGTAAGCTCTCCATACATGAAAATATCCATACATGAAAATATCCATCCATACTATGAAAAGTGAGTGTTATATTGAACAAACACACCTCTGCCTTCCATTTCGATTAAAAGGCTATAATATATTGTTTATTATGTAACAAGTTACTTTTAAAGTGGTATTTGCGCCAAGCAATATCCGGCCCACACATGGAAAGGAATGGCCCGTTATTGTCATAATAATAAGTAAATTACGATATACATTGATTAAGTGTTACGCAACAATACAAGCCAGTAAGCCTCACTGATTTACTGTTGTAAACGAGCTTTAGTAGTATTTTCAAAAGAAAACTTATCTTTAACACGAACAGACCTCTGGAAAAATGGATTTTAAATGCAAGTCCCACGAGTGAATAGAAAAGTCAATATATATATTTAAAGGACAGATATAACATTTGACAAATTATGTCAAAACTTCTTGAATTAATCAAATAGCATTTTTTAATATTTTTTATCTAGGGAATCTAGAGGACTGACTGTTCTTAAAAATATGCATTCAAGCTTATCTAAAACTTCTAGTCGTAAAATAACACAAAACTTAAAAAAAATAAAATCACTTAACCTCGCATTTGATTTCGAGAGTAGATTAAACTGATATAATTTAAAGTGAGTCCAGCTACATACTTAAACAGAATTAAAATTATTCAAAAATATCATTCACCAAAATTCTTGGCAGTGATTGAAATGTGCTCAGAAATCGTGCCAAAAATTCAAAATTGAATCGACCTCGGAGCTATGCACATTGTTACTCTTGTTAGGTAGTAACCTCAATAATCAAAACTTCTTTATGAGATTACAACATACACACAGGAATACCTGGTGAGAATCAACCGTAGATAGGTAGTAGATAATATGTACTATAATTGAACTATAGAATAATACTAACTATAGAATAATACTATAATCTCCTCTAGAAAAGAGGGGTTTGCCATAATCAATTACCACGATTGGTAGGTTACAGATTAGAAGGAAGCTGCCGTCTGATCTATCTTAAATATGTAGTCATCTAGTCAATGCTTGCCCCACCATGAGGAATATTAGGTGTGGTGAAAAATATTTTCTATAAGAATAGTTAATTTATTTAGTTAAGACCGCATCATCGCTTACCGCCAGGCGAGATAGTGGTCAAACGTCGGCCCATTAAATATAAAAAAGGTTACTTAGTATAATCCCTCAATGTTTAACATTTATTTTAGTTATACTGGCTGGTAATTATGTCATAAGTACTTTTGACATGGGCAGGGAGTGAGTTTATTGAGATCTGGTATAATTCCAGAAAACCCAATAATAATTACAATGCTAGGCCCAAGGATTAAACCCGAGTAGTCGCACAGGAATCCACTCAAGTATGTCTGAAATGATTACAGTACTATTTCTATATACTATACCTACTGTACTGAGTGGTTTTATTTCTAACTAAATTGAAATATTTGTGTAATATGTGAAATTCCAAGATTATACTGATAGTCTTTCCAAAACAAGACTATCAGTATAATCTAAATAATTAGGCAGGCACTACAGAAATCTTTGTCTTAGAATATTTTTCTGCAATATTTTATAAATTATCTTCCAGTGAACCCACATTCGACTGCATATATTATACTACAATAAAAGACTAACACAATATTATTATCAAGAATTACCCATACACTTTCAATTATTTAATTCTCAGTTGTTTTTGACATTGCCCAAGAAATATACAGTACATACTTTCGACTTACTGCTTACTATTGAAAACGTAACACTATGTTTTCCAGTGTCATTTAATCCACTGCCCTGAATAAGTGCAAGATTAAGCGTTGTAAAAAGTGCCATTTATCAATGTCACCTCTAGGCGAGCAACATGAACGGACTCAGCTTTTAAAGTAAATCTGAGAAGTGGACTGTAGTCCCGGATAAATCACTAATATAGACAGAGTAACAAGCTTGTTAGATGCAAGCTTCATTAAATGTACAATCTTGAACCGTCAAAAAGTTATTCCCTCTACCTTTTGAATAAATTAATATTGAGGCATAGTTGTTATTCATGTTCCCATTAAGCTATGGGTTTAGATTTATCTTTTCATACTTACTATTTTGGTTCTCTACTTCAAAATTGTAGAGAAAATTATGCTCATCTTTATTTTTAGGAGTGTTTGTGTCTCCTATACTGTTTCCATAAAGGTTTATACTTACATACATTCTATGGGTAAATTAATCTTTATTTAATGAAAATATCGAATAAGATCCATTGATGTTAGCTGGTAGACCATGTCAGTCGTCCGTCGGCGTCCCTAAGGCGAGTATCGAGCGACTTAGCAAACCACAGTCCACATCCAATGATATGCCCGGACGTAACTTTTTGGGCAAGTTGCCAATACAAAATGTCATTTCTTGCCGGCCAGGGAAAGGTAGCTAGAAGTTTATTGCGATCTCCACGTAAATATCGACTATTGTTCCGAGTATCCAAGGCCCCCCTCAAACCATTCGAACGCCAGTGAATACTATCTTCGCAAAATCGCAAAGGGGAATAAAGAAGTAAAGGAATTCTCAATACACATTATGTGCGTAGGTTGTATTGTTTCACCCAATTTATTTGTTTCCCCCTAGTTTGCGCTTAGTTCGCCCGGTGTGGGCTCGGATAAATAATTCGTGTGTATTGACGGTGTAATACAATATACAGACAACAATTTTACAAGGTAGGATGACTCCACTTTTTATAATGTTACAGTGGGACAGTGATGTTTGCAAACCTCATTCGACCTTTGAGGAAGTTTCTGGTTTTGTTAAAAAGTATAAAGCGAAAGATCTCAAATAACTCTTGTGTCCAGAAGTTTTAAAATGTAGCCATTATATGAATTTTTAAATAAATATTTTGTAATAGCCTAACTACATAGTGAAGTTTTTAACTTTATAAAAAGCAAATCACTACTTGAGGCCAAAAAAGACCCAATTATTAATTAACTAGGTCGCATAAAATTCAAATATCTAAATTCAAGCGTCATTCCATGTGTTTTAATAATCCTCATGGTTTAACTAGTTTCATACACTTTATGTGTTAGAAAATTATAAGAGTAAAAATTCCCTAATCCATAAAAATATTAATGGATCAGGCGGCGGTGTGAAGAAACGGATAGTTTACGTAACCGTTCCGACATCCACTAAATTATATGAAAGTGTAATTACACGTATGATACATTAAGGCGGTCATTAATGAGAGCGAGTCGGGCCAAGCACACGTAAGTGCCGTGCAGCGCACTGCGAAGCGGCTGCCCGGCTGCCTGGCTGCCGGCTGGCCCGAACTCGTTACATCTTGCGTAACTTCTCTCTGATTGTTCAAATTTCGATTTTATGTTGAAACTAATCGTAGTAAGCTCGAGAAAGGATCCAATCGAGCCCGAACTCGCCACCGCCGACGCCCTCTCTTACGGGGCTACCTTTCACGACTACTTTCGGAAGTGACGCAATCGTCCATTTCAAGTGCCCGCTCCCCAATAGGTACCAACAAACAGATTAAGCATCACATTTGGTTTTATTATAAAAATAAAAAAGCTATATTATAATACATAACATAACAGTCGCAGTAAAATGCCTCTTTTCGAACAACATTAACACTGTGCACTAATAACAAGTAAATGAGTGGCGATGATGAGATAATCGATGAGTCGTGTTATGTCGTAGAGTAGCTCGCAGGCGAACGCGGTGCAGGTGACTATGTACAGGGCGTTCGGCCGCGCGCTGCGTGGCGCGGTGGTAGGATCGGTCCATCTTCCCAGGTCGCGGGTACGAGCCGCGATCGTTTGTAACGCTGAAGACTGGCATAATTTTCGCTTAGCAATAAATAACTCCACTTAGTATCCTACCACCCATGCTAATATTCGTTTAGTGGAGGGGTCCCGCCACGTGTCCGGGGGGTCCGTACTGGGAGCTGGTGGCTCCGCTGTGGCCGTCAGATCCACTGTCATCACCACCGCTGGCACCGAAGTCACCGCTGATTTCAATTCCACCATGACCGCCAGCACCACCGCCGATACCAGAGCCAGATCCGCTGCTGATGGAGATACCGCCCAAGTCACCACCGCTGACACCACCGCCGATACCGCCGCCGATAGCACCACCGCCGATACCACCGCCGATACCACCTCCGATACCGCCGCCGATACCACCAGCATCACCACCACCGATACCGCCCTCCTTCTGGGTCTGGTACTTGATGAAGTAAACTTCGGGTTTGGAGGGTTGAGTAGGCGCGGGAGTGGGGATGACGATGTCGGGTTGCTCTTCGGGTTTCTTGACCAAGACGTAGACGAGGGTCTTCTCTTCGTTCTGGGGCTGAATGGGGATGATGGGGGCAGTGGGGGTAGGAGGAGTCGGGGCCTTGATGAAGATGATCTTGTAGTGCTTCTGGGGAGGAGCAACTTCAGGAATGCGGGGCTGTCTCTGTTCTACGGGTTCTGGGGGTGGTACGTGAACGTAGATGTGTTTCTGGACAAGAGCGCCACCGGAATATCCACCAGCGTATCCGGAATCATCACCTCCGAATCCACCGCCAATGCTTCCTCCACCAATGCTGCCTCCTCCAATGCTACCGCTTCCGAAAGAAAGTCCTCCAGAGGAGTGTCCGCCTCCGAATGAGAGTCCACCGCCGGAGTGACCACCGCCGAAGGAAAGACCGCCTCCAGAGTGGCCACCACCAAGGGAGATGCCACCGGAGTGTCCACCAGAGTGACCTCCTCTATGTCCACCTGAGAATCCTCCAGAGCTGGGGGCTGAGTAGCTGTAGCCTACTGGAGGCTCGGGGCGGCCGTAAGCCAGCGCCACGCAGGCGAGTACCTGTAACAAGGAACAATACATACTTAATGACAGTATACACAAAACATGTTATAATTGAATTTATTGTTGACTTAGTTCAAGAAGCTACGTGTAATGGTTCTTGTGGAGAAGTGGGTGCGACTGATGTATGACCCGATTATATTATAGGTTAAGACAATTTGATTTCCAACGATAACGAACATCGACGGAAATGAAAACAGATTGAATCTTTGAGGTTTATGTGTAACCCTTAACACAAATGAAGCCGTCAGTTGCTTAAGTCAGTTAATATGACCACATTAGATAACCACATCACATTAGCCGAGTCGGAGAGAAAGATATCCAAGAAGTAGGTAACGCTCATAACACATTGAATAGTGACTAGTTAACTAACACGACACAGAGAGCGCGTAGCATTATCAATTCGCAAAGCATAATTATCCCATATATTTGATGGGCCATGTAAGTTTTGCAATAAATATAACAAATACGAAAGTGAATCTATTGAAATAAGAAACTGTACTGAATGGGATGTGACGTAAGGACAGCTCGTATGCGGTAGTCGTAAACAAGGTGAAATAATTTGTATTATGTAATGGGGACGGATACGCGGAATTTTGGCGGTAGACGGTTCGCACTTTATGCGTTTGCTTTTTAGAATACAGATGCACGCACCGCGTATAGTGCGCATGTAAAGCGTCCCATCATATGGGTATGTGCCCAGTGAAATGAAGATCGAACCCGAAATGAATAATAATCGACCGGCTTTTATGAAGTTGTGTAACAAATGTGATCAACATAATTGAACCTCCTGTTACCCACCAACTCCCGTTTAATTCAAGTTCATATGTGCAAGGGGAACCCATTTGAACCATTACACTTTAGCTCCATCTAATACGGTATCGATTACAAATAACCCAATATTCACTATTTGAAAATGAAACCCTATAGTATTTTTAAGATACGCTTTACGTTACAGAACTCCAGTTATTTATGTATTTATTATAATTTGGAGGCTGTATATTTTTAATATAAGTCACTTCATTTTTTTTGTTCAATAATAACTTATTATTGTATTAATAAGTCACAATCACTGATGATAACGTGGATTCACTACTTCAACGTCACTGAAGTATTGATGTTTCACTATTTGGCACACTACGATAGTCCAATCACTGAACACTTCACTTCAGTTCCATAATTCCTGAAATGCTGATAGTCCTCTGTATAAAATATCACATTAGGAACACTGATAATATAAATTTAATTATCAATCGCATGTGCCAAACAGTAAATGAAATTAAATAATTAAGTGATCCCGCGAGCTGCTTACCATGAATGCGCGCATATTGAGCTTGGGTGAGACGGCTCCGTGTGTTAAAGACCTTTACTTGAAAGGCGAGTGGTGCAACCGATTAGAACAACTCCACTTTTCGGAGATGTTCCTGTGGCTGTGAGCTTGTGTTAACTGATGACATTCGCCATGCCGACCCGCTCTTAAATAGTAAGGTGCTCATCTCGTCAGAACACTCCATCCCTACGAGCATTTCACTCGGTAACATGCAACTATCGTCATTATTTAACAACTATACGGTCCTTTCTTTTCGCCGAGGTCCACGGCCGGCGCGGGCGCATTCGATACGCTGCCTTAGCGACCACCGCTCGCCTACACGCAGTGACTTGCTCGCCGTCCACTGCCACTACAGCCCACTTTAGCTCGGCCGCCTTACGATCGGGTCGCACATGCATCTGGATCGATTTGTTTTCTTTTTTTGTAATCAATATCTACATATGCTAGTTTCCGTATAATGCATCAGCTGTCTGAAATTCTATCGCACCCGGTTGGTTGCGTAACTCGGCGGGAATTTAAGTTCCACACAAAGATTTTAATCAGCGTTAGAGAAAATACATTGAAGATGTGGCTGGATACAATGTCGACGCGACTTGTTTTTCTTTTGGTCGGCGACTGCTGGAGCGTACGAATAACGAAATTGAATCATAAAACTTGTTTGTTGATAATATAATTTGAGAACAAACAGATTTTCCTGTAAGCGGTTAAGGAAAAGCCTTCAGTGAATTACTTTGTTTGGCCTTACTCGCCGACACTTTGTAGTTGATCCAGCTTCGGAGTTTGCAACTGCAACTGTTCAGCGACAAGTATTAAATTGAAACAATATCTGACGTGAGAGGCGGGAAATGTAACACTTGCTTTGTCGCTATTTTGTCGGTACGCAAAGTTGACACGAACAGATTTTCGAAAACTGGACACTGAATTGTTTACACTGTGAATACAGCCGGTCTCCTCATTGTTCTGGAATATGAAGTACATTTTAACTCGGAGTTGTGTTAGTTGAATGTTATTGTATGTTTTGATTGGATTTAAGGGAAGCATTTCAAATACAAGTGTGGTTTGAAAACAGACAATTTAATAATATTAGAATACATGGTTGTTGAAAATATTTTAACTAGAATTTCTTTGGATAAAATAAAACGACTGTAAATGAACTGGTAAGGACCCAAGTGCAGGGTCTCAGGTGCAACCCTTAGCCCAGACACAGTATTGTCCAGCTTTATTAAAAAGTATTTATAAGTCGTTGTGTGTATATTAGAAAAATATATTTTATGATTATTTTTTTCTAAATATTTACGGCATAAATTGGATGACATTTCTGTCGCCCTTCGCTTCCTGTTTGAAATGAAGTACAGCAATTGTAATATTCAGAGACGTTGACATAGAACCGTAACAGTTCGAGTAAAAATTAAATCAAACATCGGAACACATTCCAATTTCAAACTAAAAATAACCGCCAACGAATGACGAAGTTCAATGTCAATCAAAAAAAGAAAAAGGTTTCGTCAGAATATTTTCAATTTATGAAAAATAATTTCTTTTATTTATTCCATTTTCAAGTATAATTTTAATTAGGTACATCTCGGTGGTGTCGGTCGTGTAAAATTGTAACTAGACAAACTTCATGATAACCAGCCGCTTGCGTGTACTAAATAATCATTGTTCTTTACAAAGTAACCACTTAGTGGTGAGAATTTTTTTATCGTTGCTGCTACCAAATTATGTTAGTAGCGTGATTATGACTGTTCTGTGTTTATGGCACGTGTCCCAGCGGGTGATATTATAGTGAAATATAAAGTTTGGGGGCGACGTGTTGTTAATGCAAAGCCTAGGTCTGCCTTAGACTGTTATATAACGTACCCATTGTGTAAACAGGAGCTTATAGTTTGAAGACGTTATATAAAACAGTATCGTATTTCTCAAAATTAATCTTAAATTATGAAAACACGTACTGCGAATTTCCTTAGAAAGCTTAGGTAACTAGGTGTTGCCTACTTACCCTTACTTGAATATTTTTTTGAATCAAAATATGTACGTATGTATATGTATGTGATTAATTTTGAAACATATACATAAGTACTGCACGTTGCTTGTAATTTTCTATGTAAACTACGACATAACGTATAGTCATTAAATAATTTGCTTAACCTTTTTTTAGTAACTGATCATTAATTAAGCTCGAAACTATTTGATGAAATAAAATACTATTTTGCTTTAGTTTTATCACTTACAATATTCGAAACAATGAGTTCTTAATTCACAAGGAAAGTGATCTAGAAAGTAAATGTTATTTGATGAAAATTAATAAGGAATTTACAATAGATATTGTAACTTTCGGTATATTGTAATTTATTTTTTGGTACAGCAACGGTGTTTCATAGTTAGTGCCGTACAAATAATGTTGTTCTGAATACTAAAACTGTATTATTCCGGTTAACATATCACAGTATAATTATAATATATTATTATTTACACTACAATGGAGGTAAATAAATAAAAACCTTTGCACATGTCAATGTGTAAAGAATTTTTGAGTGTGTGTTGTGTATGTGATTTGAGTGTAAACTCAAATAGTTCAAGAATCAAAAGACCGCGTTTTTATGAAAAGAAAATTACACACACGCCATTTTTATTACAAAATCAGAAATGTTTAAAAATGGAATGTAGTATCGGAACAAATAACAAACATTGCAGTATCCGTGCAATCGATTTACAATCGTTTTATTTTTTTAAACACCGATTGCTAGTTTTTTTTTATTTATTTATTTACATATTTACATACGGTTTTTAAAATCATAAAATACAATTTTATATGAGATAGCCTTCTGTAACAAAAATTAAACTTTACTTTTGTGTGTTACGTTACAATATTATTTCAGTTTTATAATAGTCAAAGTCAAAGGAAAAGACAAGAATAACGTTTATGAACAAAAGATCCTTGTTATTTGACAAACGGTGTCAAGACAGACATGTTTCATTTTGATTCATCTTGGGAAATTCCTTCATTTCAATAACACAATTTAATAAACCTTCCAATCCTTAGTATCTGTGGAATCGTATTAAATTTTTTGAGCGTCAATCTCCTAAAGTGAGTTATAGATTTCGCAGTAGGTATTTATTTTCATTTTTATTATCGAAATATAAACAACAAATGGTGATTTAATCATTATTTATAGATTGTATAGTACAATTATGTATACGTGACTACTACGACAAGGGCTTAATTTTAATATCGTAGTCAATCAAAGAACTATTTACTTTTTCGTTTGGACATTTCTGATTCAATATGGGTTAATCGTTCACCCCTTGAGGATTAATGACATAATTTACTAAATGTACATCAAACACATGTTTTCACATCATTCATGGTTACCATGCCTGTACGCATAAACGCAAGCGTTGTATCACGTCGGTTCTCTAAGAAATCGCGGTATCACTCCGGTCGAGCCAACCCATTCTCTCCAGCTCTCTCACGTGATATGATTTAAATAGATTGTTACTGCAATCATCTTCCGATGTCCATCCTTAGAAATGACGTATACCAGTCACTCGGTTTCTGAATAAAAGCAGGTCGAAATCGAAATACTTTCGCATTGGTCGAGGGAAGCCTGAGTGGGTCACTTGCTAGTTTCAGTTTATAGTTACGCCTTCTAATCCCCAAGGGATTTTTTTTTAAGTGGGGAAAATCATCGAATGACTGCTCCCGCCTGGGTGAGGCGGAAGGGAGTGTCAAACTCTTACTGACTAAAAACCACCCCGTTCCTTCTCCTGCACGTCGAGCCGGAGCCCCGGTTACCCGTTAGGTTCTCCGCGACTATCCCCAAGGGATAGCATGTACCGACCCATTCACCCCATTCACATGTCACATATCATTACTGTGTGACACTTTTCACAAAGTGATGATACCGTTGCCAAACACGATCTCGATTCAAAATTATTTGTATTACCTAATGTCGATTTATCTGACTAAAAATGTGATGTACGTCGTTTCGTCGTTCATCTTAATTGTTCAAATACAATATCTACATAATAATGATGAATAATTCAAGCGCAAACGCCTATTATCGACGAAATCAATTCCCACAACACATCATAAGATTTCATTGCGTTAATTAACGATACATGTTAATATTTGAAACCTTTACATTAATTTCACTAAATGTGCTTGTGCCAGAAATAAACCGCCTGCTAATTACATTATCCTCGAGTTACTTTAACAAAACATAAGCTTCATTAGAACTCTGTATCGTATACCACAATTACTGAAATTAAGACTCTATTCCCACTCTCCCAGATACCGGTTTTTAATGTGCGTCTGCCACGTTTTATGTCTTATATTGAATTACGCGTAAGAAACAAATATTAGAAGCGATCCAGACTCATTAAACCAGTTGAAGTCAAAAGCAATTGTTATATTGCGATTCAAATATACGTAACTGAATCTAAACTCCTCTTTATTTTCCAAATGGTTTAAACATGACTTGCCAACACCTAATATTCAAAATACATGAAGTAATTCAATAACATTGCAAACATTTCATATAACGAACTACGAAATATTCAACGAAGGTTAAGCCATTAATTTATCTTATTTAAAACATATAGTAAACAAATTGATGGGCAGAAAGACGTTATTTTAATTACCTTCTTTAATTTATGAGTTCTCTAGTATGAAGCAATGTATCACAACGTACACACGGCCACACATCAATCTATACAAAACCAGTTTATCCTGGTGTCGCGTCGCATCATCTTTCCCTACATTTAACGTTCAGTTTATACTGGTTATGTAAAGCTCGATGTGTAGCCGTGTGTACGCTGCAACCTTTTTTATAGGCAACTAGATACTTCACGTGGTTTCTCTCGCATTAAAATGTGCCTGACGGCCTGGTCAAGACGTCTTGGGTTCAGATTTCTGGCTCAGGTGAAGTATCATTGAGTATTTTTTGAATATTCTCAGTGATAGCACGGATTCTGGAATTATACCAACCCTTATT